TAAAACGATTGTCACAAGGGAAGGAGAAACATAACAGCCATAACAGTGAGTCAGTTAAAATTATACACATCGGCAATATTTCAGCCATATCGTGACGACAGTTATTCATAAATCCTAATACTTTATAAATAGCTGTCACAACAGCCATAACACACTTCTATGAGAGGTTAACAATATTGTCATCACTGACAAATCTGCCACTGTACCGTTTCCATTTAACGCTTTAACAAATATAACAAATCTCTTGTAAAATCACAAGATATACAGAAACATCCTGAGCGTTGCATTATTAATTCCGCAACAATCGAAAGTTACATTTTCCTGATTGATATCTGATCCTGATCAATATCTGATCAATATCTGTGTAGTTAATCATATTCATTAGAAAGTTTATAATTGTGATTGAATTAATAAATGAAACTAATTTCTTTATTGATGACGTCATTGTAGACTGATAACCAGAGTATGTCAATCAATGGGTTGTGTAGGTAAACACAACGTGGGTGAACTAAAGTAGGACTTTATTAATGCAGTGATGAGCTGACATTGGTCATCCAAGGTAAACTTTGGTTGCACCTATGTCATCACATGCTCACCTGGATTTTAACATCAACACAACCTGTGAAGATCCAGGGTAGAATTGGTCTTCAGCAAACACTGAGTGTGGCGTTAAACAACAAACCACCCCAACCAACCCAGTCTCCTGGTATGAGTGAATCAGTTTAGTTTTACACTGCAATATTCCAGCTATATGGTAGCGAACTGTAAATAATCGAGTCTGGACCAGACAACCCAGTGATCAACAGTATGAGCATCATGTGATGAGCATGCCATGATATCCTTGTTGCGTAGATAGATGTTCATGATGTCAATCACTTGATTGTCTGGTCCGTACTTGACTATATACAGATCAGCATCACATACTTGAAATATTGCTGAGAGCCACATAAAACAACAAACAAACGAAACATTAAGTCACCTCTTGCAACAAGCATTGGTTGCCGAGTACAGGGTATTGTTAACATTGACATCAAGAGGGTGGAAATACTGACAACTTGATTGATATTTTACATACCTCTTCATTTCATCAAATAAATGACTTGTCAGAACAAATATCTATGATCAGTCAAGACTATATATAATAGTCTGGAAATGTATCAGTCTATTACTGATATTTTATATTTTAATCAGCGTTTATCACTCAATGGTTTTCCTCATATATTTATCAGATCGATCTCAGTTTGTGCTCATCCAAAATATTAGATCTCAGACACGCAGCCTTTCATGGGGTGTTCCGCAAGGTTCTGTATTGGGACCGATGATATTCACTCTCTACACCAGCAGTCTTTGGGACCTTATTACTCGGCATAAAATCTTACATCATTGTTATGCTGATGATACTCAACTATTAAGAAAACTCAATGTTAATGATGCAAAATCACAAGTTGCAGAAGTTGAAGTGTGTGTAGGGAATGTGAAGACATGGATGACTCAAACTAAACGATAAAAAAACAGACATTTTCACTTGTTCACCAGTCAACACCAGTCAACTGAGTGTGAACTCACTTAAGATAGGCGAATCTCGGATCTCTGTTCGCCCAACAGTCAAAAACCTGGGTGTCCTGATCGACTCTACACTTTCCATGGAGCCACATGTCAGTAACGTATGTAAGATCTGTTATCACCACATGAGGAATATCTCCAGCATACGCCACCTATTAACAGCTGACGCAACACACCATCTTGTAAGATCTATGGTGTTGTCCTGCTTGGACTACTGCAACAGTTTGCTTGGGAACATGAACAAAGACCTGCTCTCCAGGTTGCAAATAGTCCAAATGCAGCTGCCAGATTGATCTGTAGAACCACCAAGCACAGCCACATCTCCCCAATCCTCATGCGTCTGCACTGGTTACCACTCCCAGCTAGGATAGAATACAAAATACTTAGCATGACGTATAGATGTCTTAACAATGCAGCTCCATCCTATATCTCTAGTCTTGTCAGAGAGTACGTTCCAACTAGGACTCTTAGATCAGCCAATCAGTCGCTGCTCATCATCCCAAATGCACATCTGAAGACATACGGACACCGACATTTTTCCTACTTGTCAGCTATCCTCTGGAACAATCTGCATGTGTCTCCCAAAGAATCCCCCCTCAATAGCCAGCTTCCAGTCTAACTTAAAAACTTTCCTGTTCAAGAAGCACTATGACATATAAGTGAACTCCTGTTGTAAATATGTATATATGTCAGCGCCATGAGCAACCACTTTGTGACTTGATATAGGGTGCTATATAAATGGACTTATTATTATTATTACTAATGTTTTAAACTTATAAGCAGAGCTTATTTCTGACATTTTAAATTTTCATCAGTGTCTATTACTAATATTTCAAATTTTCAACAGTGTCTATAACATAAATTTTAAATTTTCAACAGTGTCTATTACATAAATTTTAAATTTTCATCAGTGACTGTTCCTAATATTTTAAATTTTCATCAGTATCTATTACTAATATTTTAAAGTTTCATCAGCGGCTAATACCGACATTAAAACTTTCATCAACAATTACCATTTGGTCGAGGACAATTAATTTCAAAGTTTACATTTTTCTAATCTTCCAGTGAAGTAAACAGAACTCTTACATAAAACCTGTAACTAACCTTTCACTAAACAATGATGTCTGGCTGCAGCCTAGAATAGCTTTATGAAGCCCACTGCCCTTCGCCATCCTTCCCCCAACAATAGTGAACCAAACAATAGTCCTCATCCTGGAACACCACGGTGACCAAATTACCATTACCTGCGATCACAAGCGCTTGGTTATATATATACAGCACTAACTGTTGTGACCTATGAACATTGTGATATGCTCATGACAAGAAATAAGGGAACACAGAGACACAATGTTGCATAACGCTCATAGTTTTAATAGGTAGTTCTGAACATACAATCGGGGCAGTGGGGTAGCCTAATGGTTAAAGCGTTCGCTTGTCACGCTGAAGACCCGGGTTTGATTCCCCACATGGGTACAATGTGTGAAGCCGTGATATTGCTGGAATATTGCTAAGAGCGGCGTAAAACCATACTCACTCACTCACTTTAAATACAGTCAAAGACTTATGTGTTGACCTTTGATGTGTCGAACTTAAGTTGTCTTGAAGTGAAATAATGTTCTCTTCGTATGTATTCTCTAGCAGTGTGGAACTTTGGATAAATCGAAGTATTCACAAAGATCAGGTTTGACACAGATGTTTGACTATATATGTCGCTATGGATTGTAAATGTCCATCCTCCTACCGAGAGTTCCATGCGGCCAGCAAAGTATCTTAGCCTTTGACCAGAGAGATGTGAGAATTCGATGCATCTTGCTCAGTCCAATGAAGGAGTGCAAAGAGAGGAACAGCCAGGTGTGCAATGAGAGGAACAGCCAGGTGTGCAAAGAGAGGGACAGCCAGGTGTGCAAAGAGAGGAACAGCCAGGTGTGCAATGAGAGGAACAGCCAGGTGTGCAATGAGAGGAACAGCCAGGTGTGCAAAGAGAGGAACAGCCAGGTGTGCAATGAGAGGAACAGCCAGGTGTGCAATGAGAGGAACAGCCAGGTGTGCAATGAGAGGAACAGCCAGGTGTGCAAAGAGAGCAACAGCCAGGTGTGCAATGAGAGGAACAGCCAGGTGTGCAATGAGAGGAACAGCCAGGTGTGCAATGAGAGGAACAGCCAGGTGTGCAAAGAGAGGAACAGCCAGGTGTGCAATGAGAGGAACAGCCAGGTGTGCAATGAGAGGAACAGCCAGGTGTGCAAAGAGAGGGAAAGCCAGGTGTGCAAAGAGAGGAACAGCCAGGTGTGCAAAGAGAGGAACAGCCAGGTGTGCAATGAGAGGAACAGCCAGGTGTGCAATGAGAGGAACAGCCAGGTGTGCAAAGAGAGGAACAGCCAGGTGTGCAATGAGAGGAACAGCCAGGTGTGCAATGAGAGGAACAGCCAGGTGTGCAAAGAGAGGAACAGCCAGGTGTGCAATGAGAGGAACAGCCGAGGAACAGCCAGGTGTGCAATGAGAGGAACAGCCAGGTGTGCAATGAGAGGAACAGCCAGGTGTGCAAAGAGAGGAACAGCCAGGTGTGCAATGAGAGGAACAGCCAGGTGTGCAATGAGAGGAACAGCCAGGTGTGCGCAAAAGGATGGAGATGGCACAGCACAAGTAAATGAAACTTTGTCGGCACTTGTGCACGTGCTTCGCGTTCACCTGGCTGTTCCTCTCTGTGCACTCCTCCCTCGTAACAAATAGTGAACTGTGTCAAAATTTTAATGATAAGTTTGTTAAACAACTTTTTTATTTTCAGGACATAAATTCTGAAAAAAACTCACAAATTTGGTCTGATGTTTTGGTTATGATCAGCATTTCATTGAGTATTATTTGTTTATTAGTTTTCGAGTTAGATTGCACTTCATAAGTCCGCTTTTGAGCCAAACGGACTACAGTCGTGCAGTTCCACATGGTGTCAACGAAGCCCTACAGAGAGCAAACGATGCAGTAACTTTGATATGTAAATATGTATTGTCATAAACCTGACTGTCACAGTTGTAGAAGAATATTTATGCAAAAACATTAGGAAGATCACGCCGAAAAGCTTGCGTTAAGCCAGTCTCTTCTTATTTATGAATATGCGTGTTTGTTTACAAACAAGAGAAAAGTCCGGTCTTGTGATATGCAAATTAGCCAGTGGCAGTGATGTTATGCTACGTCATAACTGCGCTGGAGTGAGGTAAATATCCCATCCTGCTAGAGTATGAATACACACAATAAACCAAGTCACTGTCATGACAACCCCCTTCAGTTTAGAACCTCGTACAACAAACAGTTCAGTGATTACAGTGTATGAAATAATCCAAAAATCCAGCCAGACATCAGGCTGGTAACTTTAAAATGCTACCAGTCCAAAATGGATTTAACCAGACCAAATATGGTGAATTTTCTCAGATGTATGGAACATCTAAAAATGTTACCAGACCATCGGGCTGGTTAGCTGTAAATTTAGACCGTCCGTCAGAAATCTAGACCGTCTCAGGCGGTCGGATTGGCCTTATTCCATACACTGGTGATGATCTACTTGAGAGGCTATCGTCAAATACCAAGGGTACTGAAACTCACACTGTGGCAAAAACCAAAATTGACAATTGTTCTACTTTCAAACTTATCTTCAAGAAATTTCAGATTAATGGGATCAGCTGGTCAGGCTCACTGACTTGGTTGACAACATGTCATTGTATCCCAGCTTACACACCCATGTCTAACGTCAGGTTTCGTTGTACAAGAACATCTGGGAAGGAAGTAGGTATGCATAAGTATAGGCAAGAAGCTATCAATGGGCTGTCACTGGTCAAAGATTCAAAATAACAGGGTTGGTTGTCAAACCAGCAGTAAAAATCTTACAAATCTTGTATCCCTTATAGAACTGTCAATTTGGCGAAAAGTGAGTCATTGATCATGAGTGAGTATGGTTTTATGCCGCTTTTAGCAATATCGCAGCAATACCATGGCGGGTGACACCAGAACTGGGCTTCACACATTGTACCCATGAGGGGAATTAGAGGTGTTTGCAAGTACTTCGAACAACAAAACCACTATTTCTTCAAAGCATGAAGTCTAAATGTACCACCAAGTTCTTCTTGTCCAGTAGTTAGTCTAGTGGGGTGGGGCGGTGGGGTAGCCTAATGGCTAAAGCGTTGGCTCGTCATGCCGAAAACCCGGGTTCGAATCCCCACATGGCCACAATGTGTGAAGCCCATTTCTGGTGTCCCCCGGCGTGAGGTTGCAGGAATATTGCTAAAAGCGGCGTAAAACCAAACTCAGTAAGTCAGTCAGTCAGTCTAGGGGGGTAGTGTAGTGGTAAAGGTGTTTACTCGTCATGCCAAAGACACAGGTTTGAATTTCCACATAGGTACAATGTGTGGAGCCAATTTCTGGTGTCCTCTGAAGTGATATTGATGGAATATTGCATTATGCAGCATAAAGCTTTATTCAACTACTTATTCACTCACACACTCTTGTCCAAAAATAATACTTTAATACCTTTACCTTAATAATGGTTGGTTTGTTGTTTAATGCCAATGTTCCAGCTATATGGCGGTGGTCTGTAAATAATTGATTCTGGACCAGACAATCCAGTGATTAACAGCATGAGCATCAACTAGTCCACCAAGTCAATGAGCCTGACCACCTGATCCCATTAGTCGATTCTTGCAACAAGCATTGGTTATTGAAGACCAATTTTAACCTTGATCTTCACAGATCCTCAGAAAGGTACAAGTATACCAGTAACGGGCAATAAACAAAACACAACCTTTTTCTCCAATGACCCCAGAGATGACCTTGACCTTTGTGACCTGTGAAGATCCGGGGGTAGAATAGGTCTTCAGCAACCCATGCTTGCCACAAAAGGCGACTATGCTTGTCGTAAGAGGCGACTAACGGGATCGGGGGGTCAGCCTCGCTGACTTGGTTGACACATGTCATCGGTTCCCAATTGCGCAGATCGATGCTCATGCTGTTGATCACTGGATTGTCTGGTCCAGACTCGATTATTTAACAATAAAGTACCATTTCTCAGAAACAGAAAATCAGAGACCATGCATCACAAAATCATAAATGTTGACCTTGACCTTTGAATAACCTTGACACAAACCATTTTTTTAAGCACATTCAACCAGTGCTAGAGAAGATATATAGCAAGGTTGACATTAATTCAATGAAAACTACATGCTTGCTGAACAATCTAATTTCATTATGTAAACATGGACAATGGACAACATGGTATTTAAACATGAATTGGATTACAATCTATAACCTCGAACCAAAGGAAATAGACCAAGTTATGCACATTATAAGGATAGAATGTGCCAATATTTGACACAAAATTTATTCAAGTCCACAAGATGGCCATAACAATTAGGCAGCCTGAACAACAGACGGACAGTAGAAAATCCCTTCTTAAAGCCTTCATCAACCAGACTGAACCCTACACAAGAGATGAAAATAGAACATCTATATTTGTCTCTCTCCAATCTTTATTCATAAACAGCTGTCATGGTGAGGGTCTGTCATTCAAACATCTACTAATCAATTTCCCACTCAAAACAAGTGACCTTTAACCTCCTGCTGTCAAGGTTTAATGGAATTCGGCAACCCTTGACTGACCTACATAATGCACATGCACGTCAATGATCGGACCATGAATGCTTTCCTCGTCAGTGCTTTGATTAAAAATATTTTGGGTTAATTTGGAACAGAAGGAATATAAGCAATATAGGTATTTATCTCTATATATATTTGCTGAAAACAAATTTCATCTTTTTGAAGCATGAAAATAGAATAGGCATTCAGGGGTCTCAAAAGGATTTCATATTCATCATACATATGAATGTTTATGCTAGTTACATTTTCTGTGAGTGAGTGAGTGAGTGAGTGAGTGAGTGAGTGAGTGAGTGAGTGAGTGAGTGAGTGAGTGAGTGAGTGAGTGAGTGAGTGAGTGAGTGAGTGAGTGAGTGAGTGAGTGAGTGAGTGAGTGAGTGAGTGTTTTTTTTATTGCTGCTTTGAGCTTAAGTTCAGTTATATATATATGTGATGTTGAAACAATCATGGGGTATCTTGGATTTATTTGCCTATTGCTGCTTTGAACTGTACTTCAGCTTACATTATATCACTGTATGTAAGCCCAAAGTAGAGCAGGTGTCGGGCATGTACACTTTCTTGGAACACATGAACATATTTCTTTCTACCTGATAAACAAGGCAATTCTAAACAAGATTACCGTAGTTTTGCCAAAGGGGTTGTCTACAAAAGGGGTTGTCTAAAAAAAATATGACTGACTGAAAAAGGATAAGTAGGATATTTAGATTTTTTACCCCCAATGCTCCACCCCAACCCACAAATATTGAAAGAATAGGAAAATAAAACAATAACAATTGGCTACACAAATTTTATGCCCAAATAAGGAAAACCACTTATTTACACCCACACAAAACACAATTTTTGTTGCACAGAAGGACCATCAGGTCGATGATAACACATAATGGTTTCCTCACAACTAATGTCTCTATAACACTATCATCGAGCTATGTAAAAAATGTCAGTATATGTCTTTCCATTGAAAAATCATTGCAACAGATTGGATACCCTGGGAAGTCTTTTATCTCCTGGGAAGCCTCGAGTATCCTGTGGACGTATTTAGCCAGTTAATACTAATGACGTATAAAAGACCACTTTACTCACTCACAAATGTCAGCTGAGGTTCTCTCAACTACCCTCATTAAGAGTAGTTGTCAGGTAATCGCTACTTCACGATGCGCGACTGCTGTGAACAATTTTCTTGAAGATTTCATCATGTCTTCCTACTCCATAACTTCATCTCAGCAGTGACAATGTTCATCCCTTTTTCTGGATAATGAATCTATTACGAGCATATACGTTATTGCTAAAACTGGATTTCTGTGAGATTTCACAATGACATGCTTATACAGCGTTTTTCTCAGTCAGCAGAAATTCAGTGTCAACTAGCCTCTCCGTATACCATCACTGAATTTATTCACAGGCCTCCTTCTATACAGAGAAGAGCATCTGTGACCGAGCATGCAAAGGTGCCTCCATTTTCTGTGCAGACTTACATCCCCTTGACAAGCCGGAGTAAGCGAGGGAGTTGGGTTTTATACCAATTTTAGCAATATTCCAGCAATATCCGGGGAACACCAGAAATGTGCTTCACACAATGCATCCATGTTGGGAATCAAACCCAGGTCTTCGGTCTGACGAGCAATCGCATTAACCACTGGGCTACCCCATCGCCCCTTTGCAATGCTCACTGGTTTAAATCCAAGATAAAATCTTAGATCAAAACTCCTCTTAAACCTTAGGATTACAGGACTCTGGCACGAATGGAAGTGCAACCCAACAGTGAACAGTATTTGGACAAACTGTGTTTCCAGGTCTGAAGAATATGAAAGATAACATACGGGTACAGAGAACCACAATTAAAGGTAGCCTTTGTTTGGGACAACCCAATCATCTCAGCAAATAGCTCCAAAGGGAAAAAGATACCAGCTTTTAGGTTATTTTTCACATTCATCAGTATACCAAACAGGTTAATAACCTGGATGAAGAACTTCATGACAAGTGCATAACGTCAGAAAAATAATTCACCTATGACACCAGGTGTTGAACGATCCAAGACAAAAACAGTGTTTAAGGAGTCAAGGATGATTAAGCCTCTCTTTGAAATAAATATAAAAAAATGTGTCAAACCAAAATTCACGAAACCATTAGTTTAAGAATCATCACAGTTTAAAACTGAGAAACACATTTTCAAATTAAGTCCTGCTTGTGCTCTCAAACAAAACACAACCACCATTTTTTCCTCACTCAGGTTGATAACCTTGCATCATTCATCTCATTTCTTTTAGTTCAGCATCCAATAACTCAGCGATACTGTCAACTCGTCTCATCCAATCATGAACCCAAATCCTCTTCCATTTCCTTGAAATATCTGGAGCACTGGGAGACTGACCTTGACCTTGACCTTGATTTCAACAGGCTACCATAAATCATTGTATTAACCCTGGGTTTTATATTGGCAGGGCTTAAATCGAGACAAGGTTTCAGGATTTTTTTAGAGTGACATTTGCATAAGATTTAAAAGTTGCTTCAATTTTTGTTTTGGCTGTTCATGGAAATACTGTATATCAATTGTCCAGGTATGGGATAAATGAAATTACGTTTGATGTAATTCATTATTTTGACATTATGTTCCTGTGGGGTTTTTTCAGGTGAAAGATTCACTTGTCTTTGCATATATTTCTGATGGGCACCACAGGGGGCAGGATACGGTCACTTTTACACATACCCCTGGGTCCGATATCTTGAAACAAACTTAAGTCTGAGTTTTGTTTTAAGTCAGAGTTTTTACTCAAATTTGCGAAAATGCAGGAAAACGCATTTCACAGAATAACCTGAAATCAATATTAAACTCAAACTTAGTAGACAATTTGAGTTTGGTGGATAGACTACTTGAGTTATTTGGGGGGTTTTATTTAAAAAATGCAGTTGAGTTAAACATTCATCTGTTTCAAATTGTCAAACTCAGTTTGAAATTTGAGTAAAAAACTTTGAGAAATTGGGGCCTGGTATCACCACAGTAAGTATGTATTCCTAAGACATACTTATGATACAGTCAACTCAGCTTTCAGCAATGATCACTATGGAAAATGAGTAGATCAAGGATTATATTCAAGACATACATATACTACCCATCAAAAGTTTAGACTCACCAGTGTAAATGTAGCCACTTACTTCAGTCAACTGTGCTAAACTAGATTTTGCAAAATATTCCACACTGTTAAAAGTACTGTTTACACATGAACTGATGTGTTGTAAAACAAACTCGTAACGTTGAAAAGATTATTGTCATATGAGTTCAATAAATGATGAAACTCAGTGAAAATTGGCGAATTCTTTACAAAACTTTACACCAACACGCCGCTGTTCACATGTACGATATATGCACATACTTTTCAGCAATTTGATGCATGATCCTCAAGCAATTAATGTGCATAAGGTTTGCAGTTGGTTCCCTAAAGTTAGTGGAGAAATTAATCTTCGATGTAACAGTTATATATATAATATATAAGCAGTTCATGTACATCAGTTCATGTTAAGTGTGTCTAAACTTTTGATGGGTAGTATATATAAATATTTGTGTTTAGGTTCAACTGTCCACTTGTTCAAGGCAGACATAGTTTACTTGTGACCATGGCAAAAAAGATTCATCACTTATGTCTGAATCAGAAGATGTTAAATTGAAATTTATTCAAGCTTTTTATTCAAATTTTTGTATACATTTTCAGGACATCAGTTGATCAAGGATCTATTCAAGGCAGGTATTTATTTCAGTGTTTGCAGGCAGGCATGTTTTCTTTCGTTGCATTGGTTGACCTGCCATGTATTAAGGGAATGCATATTCAAGGATTTACGTTATTTTTGGTTCCATGGCAGCCAAGCAAAGTATAGCATTCCCTCAACTCATTGTCATTACAGGTTATCTGCGGCTTACAGATTCTCCGTGTCCCGGAGCCTCATACAGCCTCGGTAAAAATAGCCAAAGCTTCTTTCACATTTGATTCATGGCAAAGTTTGATTTCCTGAACTTTTGTTCTGTGAATGGTTGTAATATCCTGTCGGTGTGATAATTAATGAGCCTGGTTGTTGGCCCCAACAGACTTGTGTCCAATCCCTGCAAATACTCCAAATATTTGCTGGCGACCTGTGTGATGCCGCCATCAGTAATATTAGAATTAGGTCTGTAAATAATCAAGTGTGTACCAGACAATCAACTGATGGCTGTTACGAACTACGCCAACAAGGTATAACAACACAATATCAACCAGGTCACCAGTGAATGAGTGAGTGAGTTTAGTTTTAAGCCACTTTTAGCAATATTCCAGCAATAATATGGTTGGGAACACCAGAAATGTACCATGTGGGGAATCGAACCCGGGTCTTTAGCTTGAAGTGCAAAAGCTCTTACCACTAGGTCACCCCACATTACCAAGCTGGATCAGCTGATCTATCAGGTCATCTCTTCCAACCCACATAGGTTATTTGGGTTTGTTTTGTTTGCTATTTAACGCCAGACTCAACAATATTCCAGCTATATAGCAGTGGTCTGTAAATAATAGAGTCTGGACCAGACAATCCAGTGATCAACAGCATGAGCATCGATCTACACAAGAGTTATTAGGAGCCCAGAACCCCACAAGGTTGTATAATTGCATTATGACGCACTGCCCAATGTTTGTCTGTACATCGGTCTGTGGGTTGAGAGGTAGCCTAGTGGTTAAGTGTTCACTCATCATGCTAAAGACCTGGGTTTAATTCCCCATATGGGTACAATGTGTAAAGCCAATTTCTGGTTTCGCCACTGTTCTATTTCTGGAGTGTTGCGAAAAGCAGCATAAAACCATACTCACTACCTCCATCAGTCTGTAATTATCAACTCTGAGTTGGGTTCTTTTGCACCTTCTCTTATCCACACATGGTCAGTTGTTGTCATGAAAGTACAAGACATGACATCTTTGCATTCCAGGGAAATGGGAAGTATTGCTTTACAACCAACAAACAACATTCACACAACCTGGTGGAGCTAAACCTGCCCAGAGAGAACAGAACATAAATAAAGACGATGTAATAAACGACTAATTACTTTCTTACCTGCCCAAACAAGATGAAGTGCTTGTGCCTTCCTTGCAATGACCTTGACCCAGATATGACCTTGACATGCAACAACATCCACAATGAGGCTGTCACTTTTACCAGGGCAGGAGAATGGCTGCAGAATTTGTATGGTTCCAGGCACATTTTCCGCTGCATGCACAATGGCAGCGTAGTGGCTGAGGTTGCTGCTCTTCAGGTGACTTTCTTGAACAGCGCTGTTTCTGCGGAGAAGCTGGAACAGAACAAACCCCTTCAGCAACGTCATTTAAGCGAGTGTGCAGTTGATGAGAATTCTCACAAATGGTATTGAATACTGTGGAATTAGAGACATATATTTATGTAAGAAGTATTTATTATTCTGCATTTAAATTTCATACTTGTAAGCCTTCATCCTCACCACAATCATCATCATCATCATCATCATAACTACCACCACCATCATCATCATCATCGCTACCAACACCAACACAATCATCTTAATTACCATCATCATCACAATCATCATCTTTTTATCTTCATAAAAATTTTAACATTTATTTTTTTTTTGTACACAGGGTAAGTCTGGACAAAACATGTTTGTCTGAATGATGGAGAGCAGTTTTGTATTTCATGTAAAGAATAACCATTTTCTAAAAATTCACTCTGGTAAGCCCAGAAAACTGTTGTATGACAGGAAGTTCCTGCTGGTATTTTTGCCATTTTTCGTTCACCAGATTGTGAGTTTTGTCAGAACTGCATCGAAGTTTAAATTAAATATTGTCAGTGACATGTTTGATAGATTAGATAGCATTTAATTTGAATTGAGGGACCCCAAAACATGATCTATAGCTCCATGAATAACGCCCAGATCTATGGTCTTAGAGGTCTTTGGAACAGGCTTCAAGAATAAGTATCAACAGCTTCTTGTAATGTATCCGAAGATAACTGATAGCTTACTGGATCACGGTCGAGGAGAAACGACTGATCTGGATATAAAGATTTATAGCTCTGTCTGTTAGGTGTCAGGTACAAGAATGTAGGGCAACATTTGGAAAGGTCCTGGAATATAGATTTATCTCAGATTAAGGATTGTCAGCTCCCTGGAACAAGGTCTGAGTGTAAGGATCTATTGTCCCTGTAAATAGCTATAGCTTTCTGGAACAAGGTTCTACATATACCACAGGGACATTCATATTGACAGTCATCATGGCCTGTCTTTCAATCCAATGGGATGAACATTTCAAATGGAATATTTTCATGACCAATAGGAAGCACTGCCATAGAATCTTGGCCATTTATTAGACATTTTTAGAATTTGTTTGGCCCACTCTTTTGACATTGTTAATTGAGAACTTTTTCAAAATATTTAAAAGTTTAGTCTGTGATGGAAGTTGCCATTTTGAAACCAGTGCCACAAACTTGATAATTCAGCTTTTTTACTGATTTTGGCCTAGTCTGCTTCCTATTATTCAGGAGCAGTGGGTTAGCCCAGTGGTTAAAGCAATTGCTCGCCACTTAGAAGACCTGGGTTCCATTCCCCACATGGGTACATTGTGTAAAGCCTTTTCTGGTGTCACCTGCAATGATGTTGCTGGAATATTGCTGTGTGCAGCATAAACCCCAACTCACTCATTCCTTCCTATTATTCACTGCATTGGTTGGTTAAACATCATTGCATGTGACCTGTAATTCAATCTGCTCTGATCTTATGAAATCAACGCTAAGATCTGATTTTAATAAAACTTGGTAGTGGAGCTCTTAGCACATCCAACATGGAGGTTATGGTGTTTTCGAAATCTGTAGGACAAAAAACTTGTATCACTATTGGACTTGACGTCAGTTCTAATGTCTACCATTTCCTGAAGGCTTGTTGGGAATCTGGTATTACAGGCTGGTGAAGATGTACAATTATGAACACTTGAAACCATTGACTACTGGAATAGAAATGCCAGAACATACAGTTCAGTTTGTTAACACCACCCTCAACAGTATTCCAGCTATATCGCGGCAGTCTGTAAATAATCAAGTCTGGGCCAGACAATCCAGTGATCAACTTGCCATCAACATATTGCCATTGATCTGGGCCAGACAATCCAGTGATCAACAACAGGAGCATTGATCTATGTTACTGGGATACAATGACATTTGCCAACCAAGTCAGCGAGCCTGACCACCCAATCCCATTAGTCGCCTCTTACGACAAGCATGGGTTACTGAAGACCAATTCTAACCCGGACCTTCACTAGTGACTTGGTGGGGGGACTCTCATTACAGGCTGATGAAGACGTACAACTATGAACTGTATATACATATATATATACCAAGGTGATGTTATGCGAGTTGTTCATTGTTTTACAACAATTGAAAATATTGATGGTTACGAAGGGTATTGATGTCAGCTGTCAATAGTGCAATTTGCCATCAATATATTGCCATTGATCTTTACACAATAGCAGAGCATTGATAATCTGAAGAATCATTTCACCCAAGGCAACATCAAGAATCTTTGTCTGAGTCTGTGACCAAATATAATTGTTTTATGGCAAGAGTTGGCACAATTTCACAGTATAGAGTTATAATGAGGTCTAATATTTTAAGCTGAGGTTACAAAACTAAACACAATGCAACTAGACTTGGGCTTCAAAGAAGTGGCTTAAATGGGTTTTCGGTGATCCATTCATATAACTATTTTTCACTTCACACCTTCATCCTGGGGATAGTCAAGGCTGGGTGTTATTTTCCGCTTATGTTCGATAGTTACGGCACTGACTGCTTTCACACACTCTACCGAGATACAGCATGTGAAGCCTATTTCTGGTGTCCCGCTGTGATATTGCTGAAATATTCCTAATGCTGCATAAAACCACTCACTCGCTCACTCACTCACTCACTCACCCAACCACTCACTCACTCCCTCTCTTTCACTCCTCACACGCTCACTCACTCACTCACTCACCCACCCACCCACTCACTCACTCCCTCTCACATTCCTTCTCACTCACTCACCCAGCACTCACTCACTCACTCACTGTCCCTAGACTCAAACCCATGTTTTCAGCAATTGTTACACTGTAACCACTGGCCTATCCAACAACCCCTAACACAAATACAGCATAATACCACACTCACTCACTCTACCTAGACTAAAACCCATGTCTTCGGCATGATGAGCAAACGCTGTAACCACTGGCCTACCCAACAACCCTTAAATACTGCTTCAAACAGAAGGAATAACTTCATTGTCTCACCGCATATCTCATTGCTGAAAGACAACATCAGTAACCTTTAGACCCAGGTAAAAATATCCTTCCACCGAAATGGTCACAATCATTGGCATTAGACAGTTCATCCCCCTCCCTCTGAAGCCAATTACTGGACAGGAAAAACTAATTTACATTTGTAGCAATTATTCATATGCTGACTTCACAATGTAATTTTACGCCATAGTTCAGAAATATGCACAGAAGTATTCTGCCATCATAAATATTCTGTCTTAAAGAAATCACAATGCAAGTAACAAAGTTAATCGTCTTATGAATAAGCAATTCTTCGCGGAGACTCTGCATGCATATTTTCCTATAACCTTTCGCAAGTGTAAAACCTCATCCCAAAGAATAAATAAAATATTGTGCCCTCCTCTACACCGCTGACTGACCTTTAAAGAAATCAATGAATTGTAGGCTGCAGAGCCCTGATATTTCAGATCACCTCCTCCGAGTCTTGCAGTTACATTTGTGAGCTTCCGATTGGAATTGCGATCCAAATCACCCTTAAACAGAACCTGCCAACTTTGACAAAAGGATTAACGAAATCCTTCTTCCGTGTGGCAATGAGGCGGAGAATACTGATTAGCAGCCAAGACACTATCAAAGGTGTCTAATCTATCAAACATGTCACTGACAATATTTAGTTTAACCTCAGATGCAGTTCTGACAAAACTCACAATCTGGTGAAAGAAAAACAGCGAAAATACCAGCAGGAACTTCCTGTCATCCAACAGTTTTCTGGGCTTACCGGGTGAATTTTTAGAATTGGTTACTCTTTACATGATACACAAAACTGCTCTTGAGACAAACATGCTTTGTCCAGACTTACCCGTATACAAACAGAAAAAATATTAACAATCATTTTGATAATAATGATGATGGTGGTGGTGGTCACAGGTTCTGATGATGATGATGATGATGATGATGATGATGATGATGATGATGATGATGATGATGATGATGATGATGATGATGATGATGATGATGATGATGATGATGATGATGATGATGATGACGGTGATGATGATGATGTGACATAATTTTTTCAGTCACATTGGCCATAATGATAAAACATTTCATACAGTAACAAGAAACACACACTATAGCCGTCATCAATTGCAACTATCGTTACTTCATCCTTGTACGCAGAGTACACAATGATTGCCTTAAAATGAGGGAGCTGCTGTCAAGCATATTTTATTATAAAGGGTTCAAATTGTTTTGCGTGGATTATAAGCTATACAATGTCTAAGAAAGTTTCCACATGGTAGGCAGAGCTTAATGAATACAATAATATTTATGAACACTTCCAGTAAAGCATGACCATTAAAACTCAGTGCTTCCATATAGTGTTTGTCAACAGCGTGACGGATGATTCAACTCTTGACGTCAGAGGCCCTGCGGGTGTACACTGATGACAAGATAAATTCAATGCTTAACATCGATGTCAAACTTTGATCAATTGTATCTACCTACATTAATTTGTAAAACACAATTATTTTCAGTTGTTTGGGTCTATGTATATTCCCCATGAATTTTCTAAATGTAATACTTCGTGGGCGTGCGGCTTGTCATGTCACATAATGCGTGGTAATTGTATGTCTACATCGCAGATGTATTACAAGTGTTTTAAACTGACAACTGAAAATATATTGCCTAAGTACTGTAGGTGAGTGAGTGAGTGAGTGAGTGAGTGAGTGAGTTTGGTTTTACGCCGCTTTTAGCAATATTCCAGCAACATCACGGCCAGGGACACCAGAAATGGGCTTCACACATTGTACCCATGTGGGGATTCGAACCCACGTCTTCGGCATGACGAGCCAACGCTTTAACCACTAGGCTACCCCACCGCCCCGAGTGAGTGAGTGAGTTTTATGTCACTTTTAGCAATATTCCAGCAATATCATCGTGGGTGACACCAGAAATCGGCTTCACACATTTGTTGTAGAGTATAATTCAGGACAGCCATCGTCCAACTATTTCCAAAGACCATTAACTATGTAGCCAAGCACGTGTGACCTAATTGTAATTATTCAATCAGCAATCTTAATCCTCATCACTACCGCAGTGTACATTGTCTTGTCACCCACCCTCTACTACTCTGTCATGTCACCCACCCTCTACTACTCTGTCACGGTCATTAATTAGTGTATATGACATTTATTGCCTTAATTACTCATCACCTTGGCCATGTCTGCCTTCACATCAACTGGTCAAGGAAGTGCTATTGTTTCTCTATCTGTCCATTGTTGAGTCGTCGCCTGTCCATTGTTGTCCAAGACTGTATATATGCTCACATCTATACTGTCAAGGAGTCCGGTATTCCGACTGTCTGTGTAGGGATGACCACGAGCAGGATAATGCCACTGGTAGGAAACGCCCTGGGGTTGAGCAGGTACTCCCCTCACCTCATGTATGTCTTGTATATATGTTTGTCATGTAACAAAAGAAGCTTGAACTCAACGTATTCCTCATCTTGATCAATATGTTATTCGTCATAATTCCCGAGTTAGTTCCCCAGTCGACCGTACCTACGCTTTGACACCTTGTACCCATGTGGGGAATCAAACCTGGGTCTTGGCGTGACAAGAGGATGCTTTAACCACTGGGCTACCCCACCACACCATTTCACCTGAGTATGTTGTAGTAGTATAGGGAATGGGGGTTCTGTGACAGGCCGATTAAGAGCGTCATTATATATCTATTCCACTTCCAGACCCCAGTATAAATTAACAATTTCGAGCAGAGACACCATTCGATGCACATCATAGGAGCCTTAAAATCTGTAGAGTTTCGGCAACCCCGGGCGGGAACGAGGACGACGCCAGATGCTAAGTTCCCCAAGGGATTCTGTGACAGGCGAACTATGAGCGTCATTATATACCAATTCCGCTTCGATGTACTCAGTGGTTTATGGCGTGTGCCCGATGCAGACAGAAAGTCGTGGAGCGCCGGTGGCGATCCACCGCTTGGTGTCCATGGGCGACAGCGGCGTCTTGTTGAGGGTGATGCCGTAGA